CAAGTGGAGAGTTCAGGTTCAAACAAACAGGAGAATGATTTAGGTCGCTGAGCATCGCCTGAACAGCCATTTGTGATGCACTACAAAAGGTTTTCATTCTGAACAATCTCACCAGGACATTTTCATGCACACACTGCTGCAAAAGTAGTTATTCTATCCTGATATTATGAATAAAATAATCCATAATTTTACAATGTTGTCCTGATATATCTACAGTGGGTAGGCTACAATGCTGCCCTGTTTGCAGTGCACGACACAGGGCAGGAATATGGATGTTATCCACTTCCAAAACGGGAAAAAACACAATCTGTTCCTTTTCATGTAAGCTTTCGTATTAAAACAAACAAAGAAGAACAAAGCAGTCAGTGAGACTAAACTACAGTCTCCAACACTTTTGCAGTGCATTGATAAGGCCTGATGCAGCTGCTCTCTATGCACTGTTCTTCAGCTAATATAAAGGTCACTTGAAGTATGGAGGTCTGCAGCGAGTAAATGGACTGGTTCTTATATGGCACTACTCTACATGAGTACTCAAAGCTCTTTGCACATCCACTTAGTCACACCCATTCAAACATGCGTTTTTCAATGAGTAAGTGCTTCCTATCCACCATTCACAAATATCTGACATGCAAACTGAAGCAGTCAGACCTTCGCATTAGTAGATGAGCTGCTCGACTTCCTGAGCTACACTGACTCTGCAGAAAGTTGGCGACCTCTGCGTATTATGCACCGTAATCACCATCGCCTGACCCCGCTCTGTGATTTTACGTGGCTTATCACTTTGTGGCTGAGGTACTGTCGTTCCCAGTTGCTTCTACTTTGTAATAACAACAAGCAGTTAACAGAAATTCTCAAGAGCAAAGACATTTCACAGCTGGATTTGTTGCACAGGTGGTGGCGCAGTATCACACTGAGCTTCTGGGAGCAATTCATTCTTTCATACATGTTTGTAAAAGCAGTCTACAATCCAACGTGCTTGATTTTACACACCTGTGGTGATTGAAGTGACTGGAACACCTGAATTCAATTATTTGAGTGGGTGAGTGAATGAGTATGAGTGTCTTCCAGTTAAGGTTCAAGCATCTCTCCACACTGCTAACAACAAACACTGTCACAAAGATCCAGCTACTGAGTAGGGATCAGCAGGTTTTAGGATTAGAAAAAACAAGGCTGATAAGGATTACCAAGCTTAGGAAGCTTGATACTGTTCTGTACCTCTTTGTAGAAATATCTCAGGCCAATTTTCTGATTAATCCAAGTAAAATTGAATTTAAATGTTTGAACTTTTTATCCCTCTTCCAGAAATACTTGCATAAAATTATTTTGCCTAAACATTGTAGTCAATACTTAAGGCTAACAAACTTTAGGCTGTCTGGATGGTTAAAGCACAACACCAAACACCACATGCCATGCTGCAGGACCATTAGGCAGCCATTGGCACTACCAAACAATAATCAGGTCTGTCACATTCATTCTGCACATTTCTTCTCTCTGCTCCATTCACTCGCTTGCCATCTTGTCAAAATTGCAACTTTATAAGCTTCAATAAATGAAGATTACCCACCAGCAAAAGCTCCTTTGTTGGCTCTACTCCTCCCTGCTTCAAAACCACCCCTCAAATCAGGAGAGTCTCCTGAAAAGCTGGCTTATCTTGGTGCTGGGTTCAGAAGTTGCATCACTACTCTCATGCTCCAGTCAGTTCCCCTGAAAATTAACAGACAAGGATTTCCACTTGGATTGGAGCCCCACCACAGTGGGCCCTAAAACAAGAGGCATCAGCTTTCAGCAGCCTGACAACACAGCTTAACGTATCCAACTGTGCTACTGATACCAGGATGCTAGTTGCACCCTCGACCATTCCTCCGCTTCTATATCTAGGTCCAGGATGTCAATTTATCCAACGCAACTGGCCCTGGACTAAGTGAAAAAGTAACTACCTAACGCTGGTTGTGCAAACCTTGGCTACCAGAAGTTCAATCAAGCTTTTTGTGATAAATGTCTTTCACTTTGGAGAAATTTTAGCCAAGTTTTCTTTGCAGAATTGTTTTTAATTCAACCACACTGATTTTCTAACATACACTGCCGGTTTAAGGTCATCCCAAAGCATTTCAATAGGATTTTAATGCTGGACTTTAACTATAATCTATATTTTTTGGGGGGGGAGGGGGGGGGCACTCTGAGGTAGACTTGGTGTTTCAGATCATCGCCCTGCTGCAAAACCTAACTGAGCTTCAGATGGCTGCACATTCTCCTTCAGGATGTTCTGGTAGAGAGCACGATGCTACCACCATGTTTGACTGTTGGTGTTCTTTATTTGAAATGCTATGTACGTTTTTATGTCAGGTTTAATGGGATGAAAACTTTCTAGAAAGTTCAACCTTTGTTTTATTAGTCGACAATATTTTCAAATATCTTGTGGCTCATCCAGATGTTTTTTATTAACAAACTTCTGGAAATGTGAGATGAGCCTTTGCATTCTTTTTGGTCTACAGTGTTTTTCAGCTTTGCGATTTTTGCTCAGTCTCCTTGTTATTGTTAATTATGTTCATTTGTAGATATTAGTTGTTGGCTTAGTTGTTGGTTGTTAGTTGGCTTTGTCTAATATTAAAATCTGTTTGATGCCCTGATGTTTCCCACTGCACACTGATCGCAAAGGCACATAACCAAGTATGAAAGAGCTGGGTAAAGTGATACTAGCAGGGAACATTGTGGCGCTTTTAATCATTTTCAGAATAATCCAAAGTGAGATTTACATTATCACCCTCTTCAGAACAACACTGAGCAGAAGGTCAGGTCAAGTTTTCACTGATCATAAATAAGCCAGGCGGTGTATCACGAGAGGTTTATTGAACAGTCTCTGCGGTGATAAAAACTGAAGTCAGTGTTTTCCAAAACTGTCAGGTGTGAAAACAAACCACATAAAACACATTTACTGTACAAATGCCAAAGATCCAGAAGGCTTATTCAACGCTTTCTGATTCACACACACACGGGCTATTTGCCCTCAGGCCAGGGTTGTACCCAGTTTGGTTCCCAGTACTGATCACACAGCTGTCTTCCTGAACCACCCTCTCCTCTCCCCTGAGGACATGGACACACCTCTCACCTACCATAAACGCTTTTGTATTTGTTCGTTCATTTTAAGCAAGACTTGTTTTGTCAAACACGATCATTTCAAATAAATCCCTCATTTTGAATACGGAGATATTTTTACCCCAGTTGATCCTGCAGTGACGTGCGAAGCTCTGGCAAGACGTCAGCAGAAGTTGGGTGTATGTGAAGTGAAGGGACAGGTCTAGGATGTCACCTGAGGCTTTGGTTCCCATTGATCAAGAGATCAGCAGAGGACAGAGATAACTGCTTTTCTAATTCATTTTCAAACAGGTCATTATAATTAATTATAACTTGGCTCTTGGGTTATAGTTAGTAACAAAAAGCCTGTAGCCAAGCCCACTGTGCTTTTTTTCCCAAATTCGTGTTTAATGGTGAGTCAAACAAAATTCCATCACAGATAAAAGTGTTGGTGACCCTTATGTTACGTATGACAAACGCAAACTGTACCAAAGCAATGATACCAACAATACTGACAGGGAAACTTTTCTATATGTATGTGGCACAAAAACAGTTTGCCCTCTGCAGACTGCCAAATACATTGTGACAAATAACTAAGTCTAAGAAAAAATTATGAATTCATTATTTTATTGTATTTTTTTAATCAGATGCTGCCTAATTTGTCTTTCATCCCACAGAAATGGTCCACAATCTACTCGACCAATCTTCTAAGACAGGGGGCAGCAACCTTTAAGACCCAAAGATCCATTTTGACCCGGGTTCAACGTAAAAGAAAACACTGGGAGCCGCAAATACTTTGACATCTAAAATGAAGATAACACTGTATATATTGTTTTTTACCTTTATGCTTTGTGTGAAAAACTAGGGTGTGTTGCTTATGAAATCCATGAAGTGCTACAGATAAAATTACATTTTATTTATTTATTTATTTAACACATTTTGAACTCTTAAAGAAATATAACAAAAGGAAAGACACCCAGCTGAACTAAAATGATCCATGTAGCAAACAAAAACTGTTGTGAGCCTCCACCCTTATATCTCCTTTGGGCTTTTGGAGCCTTGACCTGACTTTTTTAAAAAATAATTGAAAAAAAATCACTATGCTGCTAAAAAATGAAAAATTGATATTTGCAAAATTCTGCCTAAATATGTATTTTACCATGTTAAGGTGTGGGGCGGGGCGTGGTCTGCAGGGGAGGCAGACGCACCTGAGCGGCACATTAATGGACATTAAGAAATGTCCATTACTTAACTGGAGGATTGTGTACTGTAGCAACCAAGATATAAGTAAGCTCACCTTCAGTATGAAATGGACTGGCATTTCTTATTGACCACTCAGCAATTTAAACTCCCAACCACATGTAATCATCAACTCATATAGTTCTTTATTCTATACGGTCAAAGGAGCTTGCAAAGAAAAGCGTCTGGACTTCTTTAAGTTGCTTGAAGACCCACACCCAGTTTCACACCTTGGCTCAGGCGATTAGAGGATCATCAGGGGGTCCTTTTGTCCCTCTGTGGGGGGATACTCCCATTAGGTTTAAATCTGGGACTCCCCACCATTTGACCTGAAGAAGCTTCTCGGATGAGAGGTGAAACGTCTTCAAGCAACTTAAGTCCAGACGCTTTTCTTTGCAAGCTCCTTTGACTACGATGACCTGGATGACTGAGAACCTTCACAGACTTTATTCTATACGATTTAAGCACTTTACCATCTCTTTCCCACAGCATGTATCAGGTAAGTAAATGTTAACCTCTGCCAGGCCTCTGGTGAACTCTGATTAACAAATTAAGTTGAATTTAACCACATGATAACAACAACAATTAATCTTGGCATTACAGTTCTTCTGTTACAACATTTTTTTGTGACTGCGCTTCCTTTCCTAACAGACAGATGAGGTCATGGTTTATAAAGACATGAATCTTACCTGGGAAGTTGAAATGTCCCTTCTTTGAGTGGTAAGGGAAATAAGAGGTTATAGGAGGTGCTGTCTGTCAAACAGCACATGTGACTTGGTCCATCCGCACCTCCAGCTGGAGGGCGTCCGGTCGGTCCTGAGGGTTTACTGCAAGCATCTCGTGGAGGAGTTTCTTCTCCCCCTCAGACATGGAGCTTCTGGCCTTCTGAGGAATATGGAGCACCATCTTGGGGTTCTCCAGCAAAGCCTCCCCAACAGGGACAATTTCCGAGCCTTGCCGAACATAAGTACCCAGCAGTTCACGCTTGGACTCTGCATCAATAAATGTAATCCTTTCGATCATTGCCCAGATGATGATGCCCAGAGCAAAGATGTCAGCCTTGGCTGTGTAGTGACCCTCCCACACCTCAGGAGCCATGTAGAAGTCCGAGCCGCAGGCTGATGACAACCAGAATTTGTTTATGTTGACCGAGCTGTTCTGGATGCTCCCTCGGGCGCCTGCTCCTGCTACGGGATGTTCTTCACCGTTTCTGGAGGTCAGACCAGCACAAACCTTACTGAGTCCAAAGTCAGCCACTTTAAGAATAGGAAAACCAGACTTCTGTGAGATAAGAATGTTGTCTGGTTTAAGGTCGCGGTGGACGATACTGTTCCTGTGCAGGAAAGCCACAGCACTGGTCAGCTGGCGCATAAAGTTCCTGTTGGTCTGGGGATCAGGCCGGCGGGACAAAATGTACTGGTTAAGGTCCCCACCGTCACAAAACTCCATAACAAACCAAAGGTAACATGGTTCCTCCGAGTAGCCCAGAATACGCTCTCCTGCAACAACAAAGGGAGCAGATATGAACAGTGGGATGACGTCTGTCAAACACCGAAATGAAGTCAGCTGCTGAGCAGTTAAACCCGGTTGTGCAGTTAGCAGTTAAACCCGGCCGTGCTCCCTGCCGTGACAGTGACCAGCATTGAAGAAAAATCCTTCATTGACTCAAACAAGTGCAGTGCCATGTTTCACGCCATTTCTGCACAGATGACTTTTATGCATGAGAACTCACGTGCCGACAGTTTACTTTGTTTTTTCTCCAAGAAAGAAAATTTTAAAAGTCAACTGCAAGATTCTGGTAAAAGCTACTGTTATGGTACACTGTGGGACCGTTTAAAGAGAAAGGGAGGGAAAAGTACTGTCACTGGTTTGTGATTGCATGCAACAGATCAATCTGCTGACACCTTTAGCTGCGCCACTCAAAAAAAAAAAAAAAAGAAGCTGTGCTTGAGGTTTCAAACTTCTAATATTTTAGTTATGGGGACCTATGAGGACTGATGTGTACTGTATGAACATTATTAAAGCCAGATCAAACTGGGTACAGAGGTTTTTGAAAATTACTTTGAACAAAATCTTGTATTTCTAGTTCTTAAAGAATTGTTACAGTATGTACAGTTAAGACTTATCAGTTTACATAATGCCCAAATGATCAATATACTGTAGCTGCCATACACCAGTATTAGCTGACATTCTGTACAGGTCCTGGTAAATTACCAAATCATGCTCCCATTGATACTGGGAGTTATTTACTTTCTCATCACTTCAAAGTCCATTACCTGTCCACAATGGTAACATTGAATTTGCTAGATTTTCACAGGCATTAAGCAAAGGCTGCACTCAGTTATCATGCTCGTGTCATGATCACTGACTGCATTTGAAAAACTTGTTAGGTGGATCACGACAAAAGCTGATGGGCCATAAAGATACAAATCAAATTCTTTCAATGTTTCAAATCTACAAACGTTCTTTGTCATCGCTTGATGGATCCAAGAGATCCCAGCTTAGGATTAATATTTTATTTAGAGAGCCTCAGTGGTGACACTTACATAACAGGCAAGCTATTAAAAGAAAAAAAGACTGGGCCTGTTCAGAACCCAGCTTTTAACATCAGTATTAAGATGTTAGATGATGTTAAATTTCAGTTTGTTGAAGACACATTTAAACATCACTAAATGTATCTCTGGGCTGATGAATGTAAACAAACGATATGATAAATAGGTTAAAATTGCACTGATCATATTAAGTTAAAAATGTAACAACTCTGCCATTGACATTGCACTGTAATATTACTATTTAACATGTCACATTTCAGTTAACAAGGGCAGGCTGTAAGTAGTACACTGTGTTCTCTCGTGAGCAGGGCAGCACCGTGTACTTTTCTGTGCCTTCTATAGGTAGTAGCGGAGTGACGTCATGGCAGGCTGCAACGAAGTTGACTTTAAATTCTCTCTAGTGAATGAAACCTGCACCTTTTAACATATGTCTACAGCACTTTGGTGAACTCAGCAGCATTCTCTTATTTGTAACGGAGTGTAAAAATTCTTTGTCTTAAATAGAATAAATAATAAACCAGGCTCACAATACTGCTAACACTGCCTATCAGTAACTACCCAACTTCAGCGGTATTTAAATATGGCTTTTTGTCGTTTCTCAGTCTGCTTAGATCTTGAATGAGACATCTCAGATGAGACATTGAGGCTTTAACACGGTGGACTGTAAACTTTGCATTTCTTAGGCCGGTAAAATCACCACGACACAAGCTCCAACAGGAGCTCCTGTACTTTCATTACTGTACTGGTGATACTGCACAGCTAGCAGCAGCGTGTGTACCTTTGAGTGACGTCTCCACGAGCCGCAAATACTGCTTGGATTTCTTGTTTCCGTGGCTCATCTTCTGGGCCAAGCCGTTCCTCTGCAGGACACACTCTTCCAGCTGGACTACATTCTGGTGTCGGTTCTCCAAGCTCGTCAAGGCCCAGAATTCGGCTAGCGCCAACTCCACTTTCTCCGGGGCGTCACACTGCAGCCTCTTCACCGCTACCCTGGCCCCTGTTTTCCGAGCTACAGCCTCGTACACCACCCCGTAGCTTCCACGACCGACCTCTCGTAGCAGGCTGTACCGGGGAGCCACGACCAAGTGGGGTTCCAATAGGTCACTGCGGAGGAAACTGATGGGGAAGCAGTCGTAGTCGTCCTCTTCCCCCTGCACGAGCTCTTTATGGTTGTTATCGTCCAGCGCTATGGAGCGCAGGACTTTGCTCATCTCTCGTTTCATCTTTCCGGCCACACTCCGCCTGCAGCCCCGCACAAAGCCGCTTACCTTGCGTCTCTTCCTCCCGTCGTTAGAATCCATAACTTCTTTTTTGTTAAAAGTAAGCATGGAGGCTGGGCGTCTTTCTTTGTCATTACTCTAACCCTGCACTACGCTACGACGTTCTTACTTCTATCTGTGTGCTTTGATATGTAAAAAGTCTGCGTGTTAACAGTGAACACAATCGTCCCACATCGAAGCTGTACCAACTTCTTTGGCACGATAAACAAAATGTTCCAGTTCGAGAGAACAGAGGGCGTGGCTTAGCGTGCAGCTGCGGTGCGCGCTGATTGGTGGAGAGAGAAAGTAGCTCGCGGAGATTTAGCCAGCATGCTGGATTTGTTTTTATTTTCAGATGGGACGGTACTCACGCGTGGGGCTGCTTATTGATAAGGCTGTGAGCTTCAATTATTCGCCCTACTCATACAGAGGGACACATCTGTGGCAGATCCACGCATGAGTATTCCGTATGTCGCAGTACTCTAGTTTATTATGTTTTATCACGAACTGTGAGCATAGATTAAAAAAACCACACATTCATCTAGTTTACCATCTGAACGGGGTTATTATGGTTTTGAGATTGAACCCTCAAAAGCCTTGCAGCCCTTCTATCAGTGGTAGTGCTCGGTTAGTTCTGAGAAATTAAAGTGTTTGCATGGAAATGCGAAAAAATCTAAAGTCAGACCATTTAGAATCTCATTCCATATCTATCGCAGTTTGCTCGCATTTAAGGAAAAAGGAGAAAGTTCTTGTTCGATTCCTTGGGCTGAAATACAAAACAGAAGCATGGTTTACATGGCTTTTTAATTATAATTATTTAAAAATTATTTACTGAAAATAAAGAATTATTGTTTTCTTGGAGTTGATAATAATAACAATTTTCTAGTTTTATTATTCTTTTTTTTGGTGACTACTCAAAACAACTTTACAATGTCTCAGCAATTACCCTTGACAATTTTTTTTTGCAGTTTTGGAGTCATGTATAACTCTGGATGATTAGGTGGTGAGGTAACAATTACATTATTTTACTTGTTCCTAATTCGATGTTGTTTTTTGTTTTTATATCGTTTACATATCTGACAACTGTCTACCGTCTTTCCCCATTTTTGGGTTGATTTTTACACGTTGCATTTAAAAAAAAAAAAATTGCCTACTTGTTGTAATGTTCGAACTTTTATTTTGAAATCACCGGATGTAGATAGGTACGCCGGCTGTGTGTTCATGTGCTAGCTTAGCAGTTTACATTTTGCGTGGATGCGCTGTTCTATATTTACGGAATAAAAGAAGCTGTGTGACGACTCCGAGGTGATTTCTTCATAAGCAGTGAAGACACAACATGGTGTCAGAGTGAGTAACTCCTCAGCGGACCCACTCGAAAAAAAAAAATAGATTAAAAAAAGGAAGGAAGAAAATGGAGGCCTACGGTGTACCAGCCCCGAGAATGGACTGGGACTCGTCCAACCTACCCGACGCCTGGCGCCGCTTCAAACAGCATGTGGAGCTAATGTTTTCTGGACCACTCAAAGACAAGTCAGAGGAACAAAAGTGCAGCTTCCTACTTTTGTAGATCGGAGACAAAGGACGAGATATAAGTAATACGTGGAAACTAACAGAAGACGAAGCTAAGATGCTACAAACGTATTACAACGGCTTCACAACGTACCTCACGCCGAAAGCTAACCCTATATTCGCCAGATACAAATTCCACGAAAAAACACAAGACAGCGGTGAGTCCTTTGAGCACT